ACTACGAGAAATTTGCTATTAAATGATATTAAGATTGCTTACAAAACTTTTTACTTTTGAAACAAATTTTTCGATTGAAAAAAACGGCTATCACTTATTAGCCAGCCCACTGCTAGTGGGCTGGCTTAACTGCTAGTGGGCTGGCTAATAAGTAATGGCCGTTTTTTTCAATCGAGAAATTTGCTATTGAATGATATTAAGCTTGCTTGCAAAACTTCTCACTTTTGAAACAAATTTTTCAATTGAAAAAAACGGTCATTACTTATTAGCCAGCCCACTAGCAGTTAAGCCAGCCCACTAGCAGTGGGCTGGCTAATAAGTGATAGCCGTTTTTTTCAATCGAAAAATTTGTTTCAAAAGTAAAAAGTTTTGTAAGCAAGCTTAATATCATTTAATAGCAAATTTCTCGTAGTATTAGAATATCAAATTCATATCCAACTAATTCAACTATTAGCATGAAATTTCAGGTGGAACAGACGTGAGCCTGCCCAATATTGGCAAGGTGAAGGTTGCCAACTTTGAAATTCTTGAAATTAGTTCCAAAGCGTCCTATTGAGATTCCCTTGCTGAGACTTCTACCTCAACCTTTTCCGAATGTATGGAGCAGCTTAAGCGATTTTTAGCACTTCGAGTAGACGTAAATAGAGGCAGTTGTCGAAGATGCTAATTTTCGCCGACTTCACTTCCAACTTCAACGACTAAAAAATTCACAAAAACACTATCCTCAACCAAAGCTTTTTTGATATTCTTATACTACGAGAAGTTTTCTATCAGATGATATATAACTTGCTTGCAAAACATTTCACTTTTAAAACAAAATTTTCAGTTGAAAAAAACGGCCATTACTTATTAGCCAACCTAATAACTTCATCGTGCTGGAAAGGGAAGTTCTTACCCGTTCCGTACAATCTTTTGGCTTTACAACTTCTAATACTATCTCGAATAATGCAGTAGTCGGGAAAAGATTCAACGAACGTAGCCCAAATATCGGCATCTGCAGTCATTCACGCAAGCTTCAGCAGGTAGATAGCATATTAAGTTTCGGCGCGTTTATCCTAGTGTAGCAATTTGTGGCACACTTCATGTTGTAAATAAATAAATAAATTAATATTAATGGGAGCTTGAGCGCCTCATCGTTGGCGTTGTGATGTGGGTAATAATAAACGGAAGTTTGTTCATCTACTGTGCCATACCGATATTGCGCTCATAGCCGACTGTACTTCCTATCTATTTCTACGATCTACGCATAGAATGGGCGTTATTGCCAAACCAGCACGCCTTCCTGCAAATATCAGGGTGGACTGAGGAGTGCAGAATCGCTAGGTTGCTCTGTCTATTATGATTCGACCACTACCGCGCAATATGAGCAGCTCAGGCAATTAACAATTCCGTTCCCGTTATGATGTGCGCCTGGCGAAGCCAGGCCAGCTCGGCGAAGCCGAGCTGAAAGAAGGAGGAGAGCTCGGCGTCAGCCGGGCGATCCGACTGGTTCTTGAAAATGGAAATGAATCCGTAGCACTTCATAAAACCACCAGTCTGGCTGATGCACGCAACTGAGCGCACTACATGGTGAACCCTTGAGGACTGATCACTGTTAGGCTTAATCCGCTTCGACGAGCAGAAACACGTACCGTTCAGCGGTTGAAAGCTTATGATGATGACGGAAGCGGAATGGGAATGATGGCTTTCGTGGCTTTTGAATCGCATTTTTTACCCATTTATTCCTGAATGGCGTTTATCACTTGCCATTGTCAAATATCGCGCATTAGCGTTTTGTTAGAGCTTGAGAGTTTAGCGATCGAATCGCTTCTGATTCTATCGTTTGGAAGGGAATGATCGCCCCCATCCAGTAGGTAAGCATATGACTCCTGGAAAGTGTAGGGATTGCAAGAAACGAAGCAACGACTGATCCTTGCTTCATACCAGCCCTTACTAATCACTATACCTATAAGCTACCTATAAACGGTCATTATAGGCTCTTATCTGCTGTTATCACTCAATGTCAAGAAGCAATATTGTTTCCCCCGCCACCTCTCTCACATCCTGAACGCAACTCCTAACTGTTACTGGGACGCGAGTTATGCACTTGGATTCCCTCGCTTTCTAACTGCCCCCTATCAGCTCTTATCAATGTTATCACTCCTTACCTATGACACATGCTCCCGTCACATCTTTATCACTTATCAG